CACACACACACACACACACACACACACAAGGATACATACGCACATACACACACATACACACTTTCCCTCAATGTCGACTGTGTTATAGTATTCATCAATTGCATCAGGTGAAATTCGAGGTCTTACGTGTCGCCAATATACGTACATTTATTAGTATTACTGTTACTGTTTCATGTCTCGTGCTGTCGTGGGCTTATCTTGTTGTGCTTGGCCGACACACAACCTGTCAGTTGTGGAGACACTTGAAATAACTTTTCCTGTTTTTACTTTTAGCCTCCAAGAGCGGGGCTATCATCGACTTTGGCTATTATTATTAACTGGGGCAAGGACAGCCTATGATAACTGTCCAGACTTCACAAAAATATTATGCGCATCAAATTGTTTTTCCCTCTTTTTGACTTTGTTTTGATGATAATACAACGGCTGTGACCTACTCAGAGAAATTGATGCCTTTTCAGATGTGTGTGTGTGTGTGTGTGTGTGTGTGTGTGTGTGTGTGTGTGTGTACAATGCAATTTAGGTTGTATCATTGGCAAAACAAACCATCATGTTTTGTTCGTATAAAAGATCATGAGCTATCATCGGCTATGACCATCAACTGGAACAAGGATAGTTTGAAAAACTGATAACTCTCTAGTCTGAAAATGGAAATCTAAATAGCTGAGGACGTTTTCATCAGCAGCAACAAACGAGATCGTGTTTATTTTTGTTGTTTTTACCTTGTTTGTTTCTTTTCTTTTTGCTTTGTTGTCTAAAAACACAAGAATAGGCAGTTTCCGCATCCTTGAGCCAGTCGGCTTAGAAAGTTTGGTGCAGCAAATCATGTCTATATATAAGACCAAGATTCCAACTCCAAGACGTAATTCTGCGGACACCAGGGGAAACAAAGCTTTTAAACTTAAACGTAAAGGCTGCACTGAATAGATGAGATTTCCCATGGTGCTCTTGCCGTTGCTTCCTTCGCAATGGAGATGTCTAATAGTACATTTGTACTAATAATAGTAATACGACGTGTACACCACCGATCGAATTGAGTCAAGGTCAACCAAATGTTTCTCCTTGGAGACGCAGAAGCTATCATTACACCGTACCACCGATTCGATTCGCGAATTTGGAAAAACAAACTCGTTTGATTTTGAAGGTAGTGGTAGAATTTAGTCGGTAATAGTTTGTGTACGTTTTAAATCATTTCTACTGCACAGAGCTACGGGCGATGCACCGAAAGCCAGTGGAATTACATGTATAGACACGTTGTCTCTGAAATCGCCAGGGATGATTTTCCATGGTGTTTACTTCTTTTTTTCGCCAAAGCCACAGAGAGAGAGAACCTTAAGTCGAAAACGGAATACAAGAACTTTCGATTTTTTGAAAATTCGATTTTGAAACGTGATGTAGGTTTTTCACGCGCCTATTGAAGCGGGAATTTGTGTGGAAAGGAGGGTTGAAGATAGTCCACGGAAATGTGCCGAGAATAACTGGACAAGTTGACTCAAGTCGCGATGTCGTGCAGAGGTTAGCCAGCTCTAGACAGAGTAGTCTTTGTATTCTTATACTACAAAGTGTTGTGACGGAAAACGGCACTGTACAGAAACACTTCCAACCTGTAGTCCAGGTGGCATTCTTACACATCAGTTTATTTTTAAGTACTGGTTCATCAGTTCAGACATCATTTTTGGCGACTTTGTGAGATCTTCTCATAATATATTACATATTTTGTGCTTACACTAGCATAGTGTTGTTCAGTAACATTATCCATTCATGTTTCAAATCTGAGAATGGCCGGGCACAGTTCACGGCGTATCAGATTGCCAACTGTGCATTTTTCATTGAACTAAAACACCCTTGGGAACGACAGACTGTCACCACACCGTCTCATTTTACAGTAGTTGGCGCGCCTCCCAAAAACCTTATACCTGTACCTTATGCTAGTGAAGTGATGATAGGGGCGTGAAACCTATACATTGTACCTTTGGGGGCTTTTTTTGTTTTTTGGGGTTGTTGTTGTTTTGTTTTGTTGTTGTTGTTGTTGTTGTTTTTTTT